AGCATGTGGAACCAATGACCAGGGAAAAGAAGTGCGCTTTATAACCACAAGGAAAAGGCGCATTATAAATACCAGTACCAAATAAAAACATTTAATAAATTCATGAATATAAATTGTTAATAATTTATATGTTTTTAATCAATATATGTCAAATGCACTAGGTATTACGGCAGTGGCGGCACCAGGAGGGGTCAGGAGATTTTTCCCCATCAGACAAGACATCGCTGTCCAACGCGATGTCATCAAACTAAAAATATTACTTTGCTGATCCAAAGTGACTGTGATTCACAGCCCATATAATACTGACTATAATAATTCTCCCAATGAGCCCTACCAGGGATTTTATTCCAGGAACCCCTCTTTTTTCCCACCCACACTGGCCTCTTTGTAATCCCTGTTAGAAAATTTCTGGAGCTGCCTATGCAGGACAAGTTGATAAAAGATTGTAATATGATCTGAAAGAATTGCAGTCTTGAGTTTAACTTACAGTTGGTTGAATCTCTTCAATCACTCTAAATAAATAATAGGCCTTAAATTCTAATTGATAATATTTATCATAATAAAATTTATAAATAATAATAAGATTTATTAAGTACACATATCCAATAGTATTGCTCAAGGCATTACAGATATATGGAATCAAAATTTATCATGAACCTTAAAACTTAAAAATTATCCCTTTTTCATCCATTATAATATTTCTAATAATTATTATTATTGTAATTTGATATTCTGTATTCTTTTTTGTAATTGTAACTTGGCCATGATTACAGTTGTAAATTTACTTGTGATTGATTATTATTATTAAAAATTATTATTATTATTGAACATACCGTCTTCTCTGAAGAACTTCTCAATTGGGGCACAAAGCTCATTAATTTCTTGAAATTTTTCTACTGATATTTCCGGATATGGGAATACATCCTCCTGTGAAATATCAAAGTAAATTTAAGTTATTTAAAATTACACACCACAAAAGATCTAGGAATCCAGTTAGTCAACAGTGTGAGAATAAATAACCATGTCATCATCTTGTCACTCCAGAAATATTTATAATGAACTTGAGCATGCTCACGGGGCACTGCTTATCATTCACTGTTGCATGCTATTAAATAAAAATAAATGGCAGGAGAGATGAAAAGTCCATTGATTGAGATTATAGCAAGACTGAGTGAATGTAAGCTAGTCAATAATACTGTACTTTCAGGCCGGGGGAGGGTTATGGTTCGAACATAAACACTTTTGTAGCAAACCCCCCCCCCACCCTCGAATTTTCCAAATTAATCCCCAAACCCAAATAATGCACTGCAGACCCACCTAGGCTACTGAACTTTTTCAAACATCACTGCTTTTACAGCATTATTTAGACCTGTAAAACACAAAAATCCTCTGGCTTTGGCTGTTTCGCTGACCCCCACTGGGGCTCAGCCCTGGACCCCACGCTCACAGAACCCCCCTTGGAAGAACGTGGCTATGCACCTGACATTTTTGATAAGGTTTGGGGAGTATAGCGGCAGTTTGGCGCAGCGGTTGAGGTTCGGGCTTTCAATCGTAAGTACAGTAAGATCAGGGTTTCAAGTCCGCTGTCCAGATTTGCTTGACCTTGGGCAAAGCACTTTAGTTGGTTCAGTCCACCCAGCTGTATCAATGGGTACCAGCAAACTGCTGGGGACTAACCTGCGACGGACTAGCATCCCATCCAGGGGAGTACAAATTTCATCCGCTTCACACTACAGAAACTGGGGATAAATTCCAGTCCTATGAGCCCACGTGGCTCAAAAAGTATTTAGTTGTTTTTTTTTTAGCTTTGGGGAGTGAAATCAGAGCATTTTTGTTTTAGTTGTGAACATGACCTTCATGGAGATTGGAAGAAGAGACTAATACCTTACTACTGTAGCTGCCAAACCATATCTCCAATCATCAATGGACTTTTGGTCCTAAACAAATGAAGACAAAGTCTTCATGTAAATGATACAGGCATACAGCAGGATTGCCTTTTTCCTTCGTGTAGATTATAAGGGTCACTCTTTTAAAAAGTTTGCCAACTCCTTGTTAATATTATTCGGTAGCGCAGGTCAAAACGGCAATAAACCGAAACGGCAATGACCAAAACAGCAATTAACCAAAATGCCAGTAAACCAAAATGGCAATGATAAGTACCATAATGCAACAGACAAAAACGGCAATGACAAGAGTACCAATCAAAATGGCAAAGGAGCAAAATTTTCCCGATTGTCGGTAGGCAAATCAAATATTCCCATGGGCTCTTTTTCCCCTTTCAATGTTAGGGGTTTTTTTTATATTTTTTTCAATGAATTGTTTAGATGCCTCATTTTGTCTGTATTTTAAAGTTTTATTTACTATTTAAATTTGTATGTTGTTATACAGCAAGTGTTATTAATATTATTCTTTTTCACATTTTTTACTTTATGACATACAGTAATTGTTTTAGCCTCATTTTGTCTGTATTTTAAAATTGTATTTATTTTAATGTTTACTGCTTTTATACTGTTTCCCCCAATCTTTTTATTGGTGAATTTGTATGTTGCTATATTGTTATATGCCTATTAATATTTTTATTATTATTAAATGTTTTTTTGCACTTTTCACTTCTATGGCATAAATTGTTGTACCTAATTTTGTCTACAACGAAAATTAAAAGGCAGCACTCTGAGAGAATTCGATCCAACTCGGCCACAAGTCAACTCGGCCACAGTCGACTCAGCCACAAGTCGACTCAGCCACAAGTCAACTCGGCCACAAGTCAACTCGGCCACAAAAAGTTCGGCTACAGCCAACTCGGCCACAAGTCAACTCAAGTTGACAAGTTGACTTGTGGCCGAGTTGACTGTGGCCGAGTTGACTTGTGGCCGAGTTGACCTGCACCCCTCTGAGACTAACTTAGATGTTATTTATTTAACACAAGATTTCGCTGGCAGTCAATGCCAGCTTCATCGGATGAAGCTGGCACTGACTGCCAGCGAAAGCTTGTGTTAAATAACATCTAAGTAAGTTAGTCTCAGAGTGCTGCCTATTAATTTTCTTTGTATATTGTTGAGACTAACACGGCTTCATTACCACTTTTATCACTAATTTTGTCTGTATTTTAAAGTTGTATTTATTTCTTTATTTGGTTTATTGCTGTTTTAATTGCCATTTTGACTTATTGCCATTTTGGCCCATTGCCGTTCTGGTAAAAAAGAAGTGTTGCTGTTTTGACTTTATTGCTGTTTTGACTAGAAAGCATGTTAGCTGATAAATAAAACGCTCCATGCAATGAGTACCTTTTTATGGGTACATGCACAGGCGGTCCTTGAACTAACCTTTCCCCATGGACTATTCATTGTGTAAATATAGATAGTGAAGAATCACTATGTACACTCGTGGTGAGTCATAAGGAAATTCAAGTCGAGGTGGTGAAAAGCATGTCTATCTGACCTTCATAACCTCAAAAGTCAAATAGGCATGCCTAGCCTAGGTTTTTTTTTTTTAAATTTAGAAGTTTAGCATGTCAAACAGTAGTGAACAATCTATGCTATGTACCATACTAATTATCACTAAAATCACATATCTTTGGTATAACAGGGAGTTGTACTGCTTAACTTATACAGAGTTGCTGTGTAGAACTCTGTATAAGTTAAGCCTAGCCCAGGTTGATTGATGTCATAGGCCTACCTTTATCAACCGGCCCATGAACAGATTCTTAACGAACGCCGCTTCGTTTACCGGTGTGCAGTGAACTTGCCTGTGCCTACCCGCATGTTGGCGGCGTTGACTAAAACAGCAAAGTATTCGTCCATCTTTTAAGGCATCTCTACTAACTACATTTTCTATTGTTCTATGGACACCTTTTATTGCACTAATGTTTCTGGAAAACATAGTTAATAAATTTATTCAACACTGTTGAAGCCTAGCAAAATCTGCTTCTGACGTTAAAACAGGCCCGACAGTGTGATATTTACCGGCAGTACTGTAGACGTTGTGATCCAGACCCCAATTACAATACAGTACACAGTACAGGTATATGACAAAAATATCTCAATGCGTCAATTTCAAAACAAAATACCTGTACAGTATTAAAAGACGCAAAAATTAGACCTTGCGCAAAAATTTAAAATCATGTGTTTGATCTCAACTATGAAGGGAGCAGCATATATAGAATAAAATAGATAGATTTTTAATTGAACGTTTAGACAGTGGTGAGAAGCAGCAGAAAAAGCGAAAGACATGATTTTGTGCTACCTTTTAGCTCAAATTTACCTTTTAATTGTAATAAAGAATCAAAAACATACAGTATGCCTTTCCTTAGCAACAGATGCAAAAAATAATACCATTCATGATTAACTGAAATGATATTAATAATACAGTATTTTGATTTGTATTTTACAGAAAGTAATTATGATTTTTTTCAAATATGATTCATTTTTTTTACCTTTTTTCAGATTTCACCACCAACTGCACATGATTGTATCTTGTTTATTTCTTATTCTAATATTTGCAGGTTGTTTATCACATGTTAAGTATATAGTGACTATGATGAGACAAAATTAATGATGATGTTGATGGTATTATAATTATAAGAAAGAAGTATAAGAAAAAAATATGAATTTGCATTTCAGAACACATTACAATTCTCCCTCTAATTAAAGACCACTTTTGGGTCCAGGGTTTCATGGTCAATATATAATGACTATAAGACAAAAATATTAATGATGTTGGTGACAATAATTATGACAAGAAATAAATATAAGAAATAAATATGAATTTTCATTTCAGAACACATTATAAGTCTCCCTCCAATTAAAGACCACTTTTAGGATCAGGTTGGTCTCTAATTAGAATAATAAAAGTAAATAAAAGGTCCACTGATTAATCTCAGATAAGAAAGTATAATACATACTCCAAGTAGAATCCCAACACCATCGTGTGCATTTCAATACTTGGAGTATGTATTATACTTTCTTAAAGTAAATCATAATTTGGGACCACTGAAAGGTGGTCTTAATTGGAGGTGTGTCTAATTAGAGGGAGGACAGTACAGTATATCTAAAATAAATCTTTATGATGATCATCATCATCTTCCGTTAGGCTACTGTGCATAACCTCGGTTGATTGAGTATACTCGCACAATGTGTTGTACAGCACTCATATATGTTGCTGTCAAAAGGGAAAGAAAAGGAAATAAATAAATAAGTAAATAAATATAAATAAAAAATAAATTTAAAAAAAATAAAATAAATAAATAGATCAAACACAATAAGAACCTGGGACTCATTGTACATTTTTTGGCTTAGTATTTGCTATATTTCAATATTTGATTTCAAACATAATAAAACAGAATTTTGATTCCACAATACAAGAGAATACAACATTAAACCTATATATATACAAAACACATGTTAGATAGCTAAAGTACTGTGTACTCAGCATTTAATTAAACACAGTAAACTAAATAATTAATAAAATCAGTTTTCTGAAGGAAGCAGTAATTCTTTTACCTAACAACCCTTAATAGTGCCTTGGACCAAATAACCTAAAAGTGAAAGATATTTGCTACAATCAGCAGTCTGTCTATTCATCATTAAATGCTTAAATTCAAATAGCATACAGTATATATTTAATTGTCCTATTTATAAACATTTTTTTATTAAGTGTTGACAAGCATAGAAATAATTACAGTTGAACTTGCCTAAGTAAAATTGAAAATGGCATTGAAAAATTGTTCGACTTGGATGAAGTTTGACTTAAGTTTGTTAGTTAATAGAAAACCAAAACACAACAATTCTACATGTAAAATAAGATCGACTTATAAAAATTATTTGAGTTAGGCGAAGTCAACTTTAGGCAAGTTTAATTTTAGAATATTGTACATACTCATAACCTAACTAAAAACTAAATCCTTTATGAGCCACTCGAGCTCATAGGGCTGGAACTTATCCCCAGTTTCTGTAGTGTGAAGCGGATGAGAGTTGTACTCCCCCTGGACGGGACACTATCCGTCGCAGGTTAGTCCCCAGCAGTTTGCTGGTACCCTTGCAGCTGGGTGGACTGAAGCAATGTAGCTAAAGTGCCTTGCCCAAGGACACAAGCGAATCTGCACAGCGGAGACTCAAAACCCCGACCTTACGATTGAAAGATCAAACCTCAACCACTGCGCCAAACTGCCGCTACTCATAACCTACTTACATAATCCTTGTTAAAATCAGAGGGTTTAAAACCATATTATACTACAGGAATGACTTGTGCCCTGTCCACACTATCCAATTTCCTTTGACTGTTGTATGCCGATATATAGTTATGATTTACAATTCAATGTGCAAGGAATCACCTAGGAGTATAAGTGGGGAAATAATGCCGTTAACCTGCTCGTTGGTGACACCGCTATGACTGTTCCAGTAAATTAATAACAGTAACTTAATGATTATATGCGATTATTCGCTAAATCATATGCAAGAAGAAGATTTAGGCAAGTCATATGTTTTTTTTCAAATAAAATCGATAGTCTAGACAGAGCTTTAAAACACAAGAGGTATTCAAGAAGCTAAGTAATATTTGATACTTTAAATGATCTTGTACTGCAGAACAGTGACAGATTGACTAATGTGCCTCTGGTATACGGTGCTGTTTTCAAAAGACAAAAAATGATATTCAAGATAATTAGGCCTATTACTGAATGAAATTTAATATTAAATTGCATTAATATAAATATGAATGAAATATGAAATAAATATGAGTGTTCCAAAATGGAATTGAATAAAAAAAAATGTGTACACTAACCAAGCACTACTTCTTTATATTTAACAGGTAACTATTTGGGTCTCAGTCTACACCTGCTACAGAATGTACTGTAATACTCTACCTAATTCTGTATGCATCCAATGGGTGAAAAAGAAAAATTACTCAAATGAGAGCATGTTTTTGTGTACTAGCCACTCTGTTAATGCCTTTCAGTTTCACACTTGATCTGGATATAGAAACTCTGAGAAATATATACCAAACATTTTTTTTTTAAATGGTCAATAAATTTTAGATAATTTTACCAAAGTATTCATATGCAAACTTACTTAAGTACAGGTCAATACAAATTAATGTTGTAAAGAACTTTCCAGAGTGCCAATCAAAGTTAACAACTGACCAATCAGAACAGGGCCAGCAATATGTGTGTGTTTCACAAACACACGTGTTGCGTGTATCAATATCCAAGTGGCGGGGCTTAGCGGAAAGGTTCATTGTCAACTGTGTTTTAGCAACGGAAATTCTAAATTAGCCAACTCACCGATTCATATTACAATTCAAATTGTAAACACTGTTTACCTACTAAAATATGCTTAAATTTTTTGGCATGTTATTTTCATATTTTTTATAAGATAGCATGATAAAAAAAAAAAGAAATATAGTTAGTTGTCCACAAAATTTACACTAAAGTTTAAAGCATGATTACCTATAATAGGTCCATACTTTTACTATACTTGTTGCTTGATTGCAGATATTAATCAGGTTTGCTACACATGATCAAAAGGTTTGTAAATATGGTAGAAATTTTGACTTTTTGACTGACAGTTATGATGTTCTTTGCTTTTTGAGAGCCTTGATTTGGATTAATTTGGTGTGAACACCATGACAACACACACAAATCCAATGAAGACTTATTTTCAGTGGGGTCCTTCTGGTAGTGATTTGGTAGTACACTGGGAGACAATCCCTAACTCTTTTCTGAAGAGTGTACTGTTTTATTTAATGTGCACATGGGTATTATCGCAAATGCGACCAACTGCTTAAACATCTCATCCAAAAGAAAATGCACTATTATAACTTGTATTTCAGCCCTCCAGCTGAAACACATGGAGAGCAGTGATGAGAATTGAACTGGGAACCTAGAAATCGCTCCGGTTCAAGTCACACAGTGCGACTGAGCTAAGCTGCACTTTACTGAGCTAAGCTGCTTTTTATTGAGCTAAGGTACTTTTTCCTTAGTTTCTTTGCATATGGTGTTCGTGGAATAAACATCAAAACTGTTCGTCTTAAGGTCAGTCTTCATTGGTTGGATAAAAAGTTACAAAATCTCTACACTTGTTACCTGTTTGTTACTTATAGACACTTTTTCTTGCAGTTTTTTCTAAGCACTAATTACTTACTCTATACTTTAACTGGATATTTAGATGAATATAATTGGTGGCACTTGCACTCTCAGATGATTTGAAAGCTAATCCATCCTTTCAAAATCAAGGGCCTGAGAAAGGGGACTCAATTATGAAAAATTAGCAATGGAAATGGTGGGTGCTAGAGCTGATCATTTGAGTTTGATTATATATATTACTAAAACTTATTAAATACTGAGAAGTAACTGGCTCAACTCTAATCTATTAATGGAGAAGAAAATCATAAACTTCTACGTCTATTTCATTTTCAATGCACTTTTCGACAAGTGCTCTAACAGTTGCTTTGTTGGCTTCTCGATTCCTCCATTTCACAAGACAAGAGAATATCTTATCTCTTTCTGTGTGACACCCGGATGAAGCATGAAAGATCTCATTGTTCTTCAGTCCAAGACTACGGATAAAGCTTTTCCATTCGAATCCCATCTTTCCTGAAAATGTGTTTAAATCAATTTCAGTGGTTCGTCTTTCTGGTATTTGCGGCATGGCTTTGTTTTCCTTTGCAACATATGATGGCGTTCGGTGTCCGGCAAGAGGTGGGCCATCGGCAACATCTGGAGACACTGCAAATGTATATCAATAAACATAACAAAGTAATTCAATAAACATCAAGCTAACATCTATGTAATTATTTTTTAAACTGAATGCACTTTGCCTAATCTGGGAATACAGTACTATTATATATTATTTATTTATTCAACAGGATTTATATAGCACATATTCCAGGAAACAGCTGAAAGCACTTCTTTACTGGTCAATGGATCAATCTGCTCCCAGGGAATATTCCTTGTTCTGCGTGTAATCAGCACTACTGTACTAATTTCACTCCGAATCCTTCAACTGCTACCAGGTACCCATTTATACTTTTGGGTGAAGAGAGGCAAATACAGATAAAGTGTCATGCCTAAGGACACAAGCAATATAACAAGCATTGGTCTCAAACCCCAAACCATCTAATTAAAAGCCCAACGCCTTGCACGCTGGAACACATTTCTACAATACCTTAAAATCTCGAATTGAAGCCCTTTTTTTTTGCAAACTTTGGATGAATGGCTTCTTTTCAAAATGGGCTTCTTTTCAAGGCTACTTTTGCAAAGTAAAGAGGGGGCTTCTTTTCAAAACGAATGCTGTAAATTTTGTGAATTTGTACTATAAAACAATAAATAAGGCCACTGTAACATGAAGTGTATTTAAATGGCACTAAATCACCTAAACTACTGTAAGAAATCAAGCTTGTTTTTAATTTATTTTGTTTTCTGAAATTCATGTACAGTGTTTGTTTTGTACTATCTCAAAAAGAAGCCTACGGTATCTTGAAAAGAAGCCCATCGGTTTCTTTTCAAGGCTACTGTACATTTGCGAACTAAAAAGAAGGGGGGGGGGGCTTTAATTTGAGATGGGCTTCATCTCCAGATTAAGTCCACTAGGTTTCAATTCGAGGTGTTACGGTATTACCAGTTCACATTCCAACCTCTAGGCTGAGATTGAACCACCTGTAACTGGTGCTCTGTATTTTGACCTGTATATTACCAAATATAATAAATAGCAGAAGATAGAGCAGCTTCCCAATATAGTGGAACATCCATTCCAAAGGCATTGTGGGTACACGGAGAGCAATTTTACCCCGTCCGCGTGGCGGCCCTATATAGAAATAATTCTCCACTTTGTAAGATGATCAAATTTTACCCCATTCGCAGGAGGGCGGGTGTTCCATCAATTTTAATACAAATACACGGAGCAGCTCATTCTGCTATTTATTAAAAGTTCTTTGATATTACTCTGTATATTTTGCCTGGTATATTATTGTATTTTGTCCAGTATGTTACTATATTTGTCCAGTAGTGAATGTTACTCCGTATTTTGTCCAGTATATTACTGTATTTTGTCAAGTATATTACTGTATTTTGTCTACTGTATTACTCTGTATTTCGTCCAGTATATTACTGTACTGTATTTTGTCCAGTATAGGTC